GGCAGCTCCCCGGATGCGTCCATTTCCAGGCAGGCTCCACTTTGCCTCCTTGGACCAGAAGAGCAGTCTAGGCCTCCTCCCCGCCTGCCCCACCCCCTCCCCACTTCGTCTCCCTCTTCCAGAGCCCCTCCAGTTGGGGCTGCAGACCTCGGCATCTCATCAGCGGCCTCTCTGCCGCCAGATTCCTGCTAAAGTGCCTTGATTGCATAATGTCTATTTGCATAATGTAAATTGCAATCTCCTAGCTCGGGAGGCAGGAATCACAGAACAGCCATTATTTTTTACCACTCCACAAAAATTCTACATTTAGAAAGCAGATTTGCAGCTCAGAAAGCCGTATAAATCTGAATCCGCCAGAAACGCCATTAAATCACACCAATTAAGCCGGACCAACGAAGAGCCCCCATCACTATTCTCTGCACACTCAAGGACTCTCAGCCCAGATGGAGGCCACGAAAAACTGGAGGCTGTGGCAGAGGGGCTGGAAGCAGGCACTGTGCACGAGAGGCAGGGAATTCTGTCTTATAAACCTTAACACACACCCCAAGCATAGGCGCCCATCAAGATCTGGTGGAGAAAGGCGAGCCAGCGAGGCGGTGGAAATAGTCTGAGTTATTTCTAAGCTTGTTGCCTGATTTCTTGTGCGCGCTGATCTATCTGCAAGCCTTTAATTTATAGAGCAGGAGACAGCCTATGAGGAAAAAGCTTGCACCTGTAGTGAAGATGGTGGGGAGATCCAAGGTATTTCACATCAGGGTGAAACACCCCTGCCTTTAGCAGCTCTTCAATGGACTGTTCTCTCTTCACCCAAGTCCTCTCCAGCCAGGTGAAAGAAAACTGAGGACGAAAACTGCTCAGACTGGGCTGGGCTCAACTGGGCTGGAATCTGAGTTTACTTTTAATAGCAGTTTCCTAGGGGTCACTGGGGAGAGAGGTGAGGCACAGGGCCCCGGAAAGGGGCTTTCTCTCTGACGACTACTTATGATTCCAGCTTCCCCGCAGCTGTATACCTGGTTACTCTTTTGCCTCTTTATTGCTCATTCAATATTCATTTGTCAAAGGGCAAGATGCTAATGTGTATTATTAAAATATCAATAGTTTATGAGTGAACTTTTATGGAGGGTACGGTTAAAGGAAAGATTCTTGACCATCTCTGTCAGAAGCAACGGAGAGGAACAATCTTTCCAGCTCCACTTTTTATTTATTTACTGGGCAAATGAAGGACAGAAGCGTTCTAAGTAGCTAACGTGTGCCAAGAATGGCTCTAGTGCTGTCACATGCTGGATTTCGCTGAGTCCCACAGCAGTCCTGGAAAGGGTGTACAATCCCCTTTTCAGTCTAGAGATGAGGAATCGAAGACCAAAGAGATGTGCCCAGGGTCACTAGGTGCTAAGAAACAGGTTGGCATTCGAACCCAGCTCTGGACTTCAAACCCACTGTATTTTTCCCTCAACTTGGAGCCCTGAAAATACAAATAGTCTTTATATTTTTTATCTGTTTCCTTCACCTGCCCAAATTAAACATTAGTTTCCTGACTTAAGTTTCACAGAAAGGGGAAGGACAGAACAGAAAATCATTCCCTGCTTTCATTCCATGCTTTCACACAGACCCATTTCCAGAAAGTGAGCCCCCACTTTAGACATATCTAAGCAAGTTTCCAGAATCTTTTCTGCACATTTAGAATCTTAGAACTGAGGGTGACATTGGAAATGACGTCATCTGCCTCGACTTTCTCTGGTGTTATTAGGGTATTTCTGGTGTTTTCTGAGCTTCTGCTTTTTTCTGTAATACTGAGATAATAACAATATCTCATGAACCAGTGTAAGTGTTCAATGAGAAAATGCACCTCAGTGCTTAGCCTGGGGTCTAGCATGTAGTAAGTGTTCAATAAAGGTTGGTTATTAACGTTACTATTAAGCTGACTTGTGGAAGGCTCCAGATCCCAGCACCTTTCCATCAAAACCAACCCCGCCTTTTCCTCTCTTCACTGTCCCTCCGTTTTCGCACTGGCCACGCTCAGATCTTGCTCCTTTGGGCAAATGGACCTGCGTTCATTCTTTGGTTGCTTGAGTTTCGTTTCTAGTCCCTTAAGTCACAAGACATCCAGGGCCCTCAGATTCTCTTCCAAAATTTAGCTGCATCTGGGTCAGGAAAATGACAAAGGAAAAGGCCCTTTGGGATGTAGCCTGTAGGTTACAGAGTATGTCAGAGGGGAAGGGAGAAGAGGAGAGGGCATTAGGGGTCAGGGAGGAAGACTTGCCCCGACCTCCCGTCTCCGGCACGGCCCTGACAGCCTCGTATGTCCTCGTCTTTGGCTGGAACCTACCCCAGCTTGGAAGGCCATGGAGTTGCGGGGGTGGGGAACCCTGAGTGGGAATGAAAAAGGTCTTAAGGCTTGTTGAGTCCTTGGTCACAGGTCTAAGTCTCTCTCCAGACCTGGCATGTCAAGTTGTGGGTTGCAAACTGGACCCACTCTTACAAAGATGGACTATAAGGCAGAGGCCTCCACCAACTGCAGGACCTCCTGACACCAGCGTGTCCTCAGGGAATCCCACCTTGGGAGGAAGGCTAGCCTGGACTCTGGGGGGAATCCAGACGTTCTGTGAGTTAAGGGACAGTTTTATTAGCTAGGGTGGGGAGTTCTTTAGCCTGTCTTTGAAAATAGATGAGACCGCGTTCTGCCAGACTTGACAAACACTAGTTGGGGTGGACTGTACTCTCCAAAGATGACTGCAACCACATGCATCTCATGCCCCATGATCTTCACCGTGCTGTTGTATTCCTCTTTTGAGACATGGTGGGAGGGGTTCTATGTTCCCTTCTTTAAACCCAGGGGGGCCTCCGTAACTGCCACGGTCAAGAGAATTTGGTGGAAGTGATGCTGCCTGACCTTGGAGGGCAGGTCACGAAAGGCAACAGAGCTTCCTCCTGGCTCTTGCTCTCTCTCAGGAGTCTCCCCCTGGCATCCAGCCACCAGACTGTGAGGAAGCCCAGGCCACATGGAGAGGTCACATGGGTCCGGGTGATGGCCCAGCTAACATCTCAGCCAACAGCTAGTTATCAACTCCCACTCCCAAATTAGAAGCCTTCAGATGATTCCAGCACCCAGCTTTTGAGTTGCCCTAGCTGAGACCCCAGACCTGGTAGAGCAGAGACCACCCGGCCCCATTGGACGTGACTCAAAGACCATATGAGCATAATCAACGTTGTTAAGTCACTGAGTTTTGGGGGTGGTTTGTTACACAGCGGTACTATCTGGAACACCACTGAAATTAAATGAATGTTTGCTGTTTCCCGCTCAAATAAAGCCTTCACTGGCCTTCTCTCTGAGACTCCAGACTTTCAGAAGGTTCCCTCCTCAGCCGGTCCCGGTCCCTCTGACCTTGCCTCCCCTCGTCCTCTTCTTACCAATCCCCCACTTCCCCAAATGGCAGGATCCCCGCTCCCCACGGCAGCCTTCCTTCCTTCACAAACCACTCCCTGAAAGATCATTTGGATCTTCCCATGTCTGAGTCCTGGCACCCGAAGAAACTCGTTCTCCCTCATTCCTCAGTGCAGGTCCAAGAGTTTGTTCCTGGGAGGGAGCTCTCCCTGGCTGTGGGTGGCCCAGGTGCCTGGCTGCCCTCAGGGACAAGAAGGGAACGCGCAGACCTATTCCTCCCCACACGCTCCACTCTCATTAAGCTTCACGCTCAGCTTGCTCCTTTCGTACTTGACTTGACTTATGAGGTCCCTCTAACCTCCGGTGCGAGGAGACATCGATTCTCACAAAGGTCATTATCTTTCTGCATTGGCTCCCTCACCCCCGGCCCCGACTCCTAGGTAGGCTTTCCTGGAACAGGATGGAGGGAGGCACCCTTCCCCGCCCCCTGGGTCTGGGGATCCGACCACTCCAGAGCCCAGGCTGGAGAGGAGGTGCCCCGGGAGCCATGCCGTCAATCACAGAGGCGACCAGCACTGAATTGCAGGCCATTAGGCAGGAGGGCCGGCGCCCTGCTCACTCACCGGGCAGCCATCGGCAGGATGTTAGACGATCATAGGGCGGCCATTCTTATGATTTATTCAAATACTCATTATAGTCAATCTATTTTTACACAGAGGTGAAGATGTGCGCTGATAACGGTTAATCATTTATAATTCCATGGACTGGTTGGAAGCCAATGTACTATCAAAGTCGTAGCAGCAGCTCAGCCTCCGGTGGCCCCACGAGCAGGGTGGAGAAGCCACAGACTCAGGGCAACCCAGTTTCCCAGCTCACATCCACAGAGCAGCAATGAGGTTGTGGCTGCAGTGGGGACACGAAGACGTGGGAATCCCAGACTGCCCTCCGGGAGCTCCCAGCCGGGCGTGGGCCAGAGGGATGCTCGGCTTGTGAATGCAGCAGAATTTCAGAAGAGAGAGAAATCACTTCTGGCTGGAGTTACCAAAGAAGTCTCCACTGATGAGACTGGACTTAGGCGGAACCCTAAAGGTGGGTGGACTCTGCCAAGTGGGGAAACCAATATGAACCAATAAGCAAAAGTATAAGGTGGAATGTTCCTGTGTAATGAAGGGAAGTGACCGGCAGTATTTCCTTGTCCTCCCTCACCCCTCCCTAGAAATAACCAGATGTAAAAGCGAGTGCAGGCTATGGCCTCAGCCCAGTTCCTCCTCTCACTGCCTCCCAAGCTTACTCCACAGACACTAGTGGCCAGGGTCCAGGTCAGCCTTGCAAACTCAAGAGCTTGCTTCTCCAACCAACACTCATGGCACACATCACACAGCAAGTCCACCTAATGCACAATTGATAGTCTAATTAAATAGGATGTCATATTACAGGGCTTCTTTGTCACATTCAGACCAAATCTAATTAGAAGTCCACTGTATTTTACATTCTGACTAGCCCATTGTTGAGTGTTTCTCTTGCACAATGCATGGCTGTTAAAGATCAGGTTCAGGCCTGGTCTTTAACCCATAACCTGATTGAGTCAGCATGGAAAACACCAATCAAAGTTACTTACAATTCACAGTCCCTCTTCTGGTAAGCGGCATGGAGGACACAGAAAGCCTCAGAGTCCTGCTCCAGACTTCACCTGTCAATAAAAAAAAACAAAAAAAAAAAACAAAAAAAACCACATTTTTATAGACTGTATGATTCTGCTGCGAGTGTGAGCCAAGGTGAAGGTTGGGGTAAAATCGGGAGTGGGTCTGGCTCTGGAGCAAAGCCAGGGCTGGCAATCCTGCACCATAGTGCTGAGTGGTGAAGTCCCCTGAGCAAAGGATTCCTGGTGCAAAACGAGTATTGTTAGACAGCTCGTAAGGACAGAGAGGCTGTATCACTCTCTCCTTACCTGCTTGGTGCCTCAGTTTCTGAGTTCCATCCCCTTCCCTGTAGGAGTCCCAGAGAGAGAGAAGCTCAGGGCCGTAGAGAGCCCTGAGCTGACCAAGGCAATAATCATTTACTGATGCCTCCTGTCTGATGGAAAACCCCAAGCAGGGGACAGAGCTGAGCAGCCCCCGAGAAAGTTGTAGTCTATGTGGAGAAGGCTGCAAAAAACAAGCAAACAAACACCAAAACTGCTGCTATTGTTTATGGCAGGAAGATGGAAAAGTCAAAAAGGAGAGAACTTTTAAGCAAGAGCGAAGAGTCCAGTTGGGCTGGAAGGAAAAGGATGTGCATGGAGAAGAATGATCAGGAAAGACTGGGAAGATCAGAATCATGACGGCTTTTCATTCTTTTTCTGGAATAAAGCTATAAAGGCGACAACAAGAAAATCCCGGCACATATGCATCAGGTAACTATCTGTTCCACGAGCTACACTCGCAAGGTGTTACAGGAACAAAATTCATGAGTCTTATTATAAAAGTGCTGCCACATCATTGGGGAAATAAGAATAACCACACGAAAGAGCATCAGATATCACAAGACTATATATAAAGTAGTGCCAAACCGTGTGGTGGAGACTATAATTCTCTCTCCACAGAGAAACAAAATCAGCGAGAGCTGAGACACTCAAGGAAGTTTCCGGGGAAGGCAGAACCTGAGTGGCATCTTAGAGGACTGAACAGGCAAGATTTGGCTGGTGGAAGGGAGAGAGAGGGTATTCTGAGAAAGGGGTGGGGGGGGCAATCTGAGCAGGGACAAGAGGAAGAAGTGTGCAGAGCCCTGGGACATGCAGAGGCTGGTCTGTCTGAGAGGGACTAGCGGAGAGACTAATGCTGAGCCGGCTGAATGGGCCAGAGCATGCAGGGCTAGGAGTGTCAGACAGAGAGGCCAGGCTTGGGTTGTGAGCTCGTGGAGCTATTGAAGGTTTTCTTTTTTCTTTTTTTTTTAAATTATCGTTGATATACAATACTATATTAGTTTCAGGTGTACAACATAGCGATTCAACATCTACGGACCTTACAAAGTGATCACCCCAAGTCGAGCAACGTTTTGTCACATACAAAGTTACTCTTAATGGTTTTTCAACAAGGAAATGACAGGAAGAGAAGTCCTACCCATCCCCGCCCTCCGCCTTTAGTATTTTCCTTCTAATTAAGACAGAGAAGCCTCTTGGAAGAGGTGGAATTTAAGATAGAAGACTCAGGCATGGGGTGTATAGTGTGATGTGCCCAGGGAAAGAAAATGTCCCTATTGTTCATAATGATGCCCAATAGGATGAGGCACTTCCCCTGGGGCTGTCTACTACTATCCGCGTGACCTCAGAGACCAGACCATCGGATGACAGATTGTTGAGGACGAGGACTGCATCTTATGCATCTCTGTAGCCCTAGAACCTAGCAGAATGTCTGGCATGCATCGAGTTCTCAGCAAATGTCTAGTGAAATGTCTAATGATGGACTCTGTTCATTCCAACCAGAATCCACAACCAGCATCTCAAAACCAGCCCATGGCTGGCAATAAGCTCCAACTTGTATTCTTCTAACGTACTGACACATTGCCACTGAGCACACATGAACTCAGCACGAGTGTCCAGATTGAACTGCATGGAGTGGTGCTTTATCCCTGCCCTTGGGGCTATCTGTTGAGATACCAGCAACTTGGAAAAGATACGGCAGACTTGCCATTCGCACATGCTTCAGAGCTGGGGAGGCTAGCTGCCATGCTGGAGAGATGGATTCAAGAGTGTTATAAAGCTCTTCACAAGCTGAAAGGATGGGATAAAACTAAAAAGTCAATTTTTCCTCTATCGGCTTTTATTTCTTGCACATTAACGCCTTGACAGCCATAAAGGAAATAATTTTGAAAATTACGAAAAAGTGCCTACAATCGCGCCACTGTAAACCATCAAGTTATTTTATGTCCACATGCGAATCTATTTTTATTTTTTCAGCATTATATAAAAAATGACAAGAATATATACACCAAATCCTACCCTTACATTCAAAAATCAATTGCAAAAACATAGACTAGCGTGACCTGGTTGAAAACAAAGGTTGGTTGAGTTAAATGCAAGCTCAGGATGAACCCAGAGTATGGTGTTGCTGCCAAACACATTAAATATGATCTCAGGTGCATTAATAGTCATTCAGTGTCTAACCAACAGGTGAATGGTCCCCTCGCTTTGGACTTATAGATGCAATTCTGGCATCACGTTTTAATAACTCTGATAGCGATAAGCAGGAGATGAGCAAAGATGTCTTGTGGTTAGAGCTGGTTAAAAAAAAATCAGCAGTTAAAAGTGCAAGCTCTGGAATCAGACTGCACAGCTCCAGCACTTACTAGCAGTATGACCATGGGCAAGTTATTTAACTTCGCTGTGCCTAGTCTTTCATCTGTAAAATAGGGCTAATAAGGGCTCTCCCTCTGAGGTTAGTTGTGAGGACTAAATCATTTCTCATTCTGTAAAGTGCTCAGAACAGTGCCTTGCACAAAATAAGCATTCACTGAATGTTAGCTATCGTTGTTATTTTCTTTATTAGGAGGCTGTGAGGTAGAAGATACGGAAGAAACTAAAGTTGTACCTTCATTCGTCCCTCTCTAATGTCACCCATCGTTCCTAGTTCTACTGGCTAAAGCAACGACTCTTCTCCCCCATGGTGGTCCTCCAAATGTCTGAAGAAACTATGAAAGAGGAACTGCGTTTCTCTGGACCATGGACTTGGATGAGGACTTGCTGATGGATGTTAGAGGAAGCCAATCTTCAGTTCAGTGTAAGAAAGAAGTCTCTGGCCATAAGAACCATCCAAAAGTGAGTGAGGCCCCTTCAGAAGGCAGTGAGCTCGCTAAAGCTGGAAGGACAATCCTGCATCAGGGAAGAGCTGCCTCCCATGCATGGTCTCCCAGAAGCAGTTTCACGCATCAGCACAGTGTTCAAAAGCATTAGGAGAATGATAGGGTTTACGAACTTACGTATGGATAAAACATTCACAGTGTCTTCTTTCGCTATCATTTCATAAAGTAGTTCAACACCCAAAAGTAAGGAGAACCAAAAGGGCAGTTCTTTGAATTAAACAAGGCATCATGAAAAACACTTTCAATCTCTCTCTGTCTCCGTGTCTGCCTCTTTCTCATACACACGTACACACGTGTGTGCATGCACATGTGCACATACAGCCTCTCCACATTGCCATTATTTTTCACTCATGACCATGAACCAGTGGAAAGTCTTCCTGGACCGGCACTGACCCATGCTGGAAAACCATCCATGTGCACGATATCTTAGGCCCTTCCAAAAAGTCAACAGTTTGTGGTCCTGGATGTCTAGTGACCATGTCAACGGCCTTCAGACAAGCAGCCATGGTATTATTATACAACCAAAGTTTAAACTCAGGCTTCTCTTATTCATCATGAAAGTAAAATGGAACCATAAATGAGACTGACCATCCACATTATAAATATGAGGAAACTGATGAAATAGTAAATGAGCAGGACGTTGTTGAACGCTCGTGTTTGTTTGGAAAAGAAGTGGGAAGGAAGACAGAGAAAGCTTCCCGTAGGAGGTAGCATGTGCTCAAGGACAGCTCAGAGAGTACTCACGAAGCTCATCTAGGTAAGCTGCAAGGCCGGAGGGAGCGAACTTGGGGCTTAGCAGGCCACGGGTCTAACACAGAGAGCAGCAGACCAGGGCGTCACCACATGTGGATCATGCCCTGACTCTGTCATGAACTTACTACTTAGCATTAAATACTTGGCTCCGAGACACTTACTCACTCAGCACTAAGGGTACTGCACAGGCTTTCTCGGACCCTGGTAAGGACCGATGCTAATTCCACGCCCATTAGTCCCCCGGGCCATAGGCAGTGCTGGGCACCCAGTTGCAGAGACAGTGGGGAAGCTCCCTCAGTCATACTCTCTAGGCCCAGCCCAGGCCCAAGACTCTAATCTTGGGCCTGTACTTGTAAGTACGGGTGTATACAGGAAACCCTTTAAGGACTGTTGGCACTGGTAGGCTAACCCTAATGATTTGCCTGCGTGGGGGAAGGAATTGAAGACACTCATGACCTGTCTACACCAGATGGGAGTGAGAACCATGAGCTCTTACATATGCTGAGAAGTGTGAGCTCCCGGGGCTGCAGGACACACGCCCTGCTCACAGAGCAACTTGCCTGGCCCCGTGGACATCCTCTGAGGTGTGAACACACCAAGACTTGCTGATTCTCCGCCGGGAATGTCCCCGCTCTTCTTCCCATCCCATGTCACTGACCTGCCTCAGGCTTTCTTTCTCTTCCCCAGCCCTCAATTGGTCTCCTGGCCTGCAACCTCACCCCATTTTTGCCCATTCGCCATCTCCCCAGATCCTAGTATCTTTCTGAAACACAAATTTAATCACATCCATTTGTCCTTAAAACCCTTCGATGACTCCTAATTTCCTGGCAGAGGTGGTCAGCTGGCAGTCAGTCCCTAGGTTGACTCTCCCCTGTCCAGTGTTTTTATAAATTATGCCAACATCTAAAAAAGTGAGAATTCTCACATTTAAAAATCCAGATTTCTCACTTTTCTTAAAAATGAGATGACCTAATAATACCAATCTTGCATTTCCACGTGGCAATCATTGACTCTGAGTATCTGCTGTTCACTTTTAATCAGGCACAGGTCCTCCTATCTGTCCCATAGAGAGAGGGCAGGCGTTGCCCGGAAGTCCCTTCC